TGGGACACCTGGGAACACACCTGGGGACACACCTGGGGAGAGATGGGACACCTGGGAACACACCTGGGGACACACCTGGGGACAGATGGGAACACACCTGGGGAGAGATGGGACACCTGGGGACACACCTGGGGACACACCTGGGGACAGATGGGAACACACCTGGGGAGAGATGGGACACACCTGGGAACACCTGGGGACACCGGGGACACCTGGGGACACACCTGGGGACACACCTGGGGACACACCTGGGGACACCTAGGGACACACCTGGGGACACACCTGGGGAGAGATGGGACATACCTGGGAACACCTGGGGACACCGGGGACACCTGGGGACACACCTGGGGACACCTAGGGACACACCTGGGGACACTTAGGGACACCCGGGGGCAGATGGGACACACCTGGGGACAGATGGGGGACACACCTGGGCACAGCTAGGGACACCGGGGACACCTGGGGACACAGCTGGGGAGAGATGGGGACACCTGTGAGCACACCTGGGGACACACCTGGGGACAGATGGGAACACACCTGGGGAGAGATGGGACACACCTGGGAACACCTGGGACAGATGGGGACACACCTGGAGACACCTGGGGACAGCTGGTGACACACCTGGGAGCAGATGGGACACAACTGGGACAGCTGGGAACATCTGGGGATACACATGGGGCACACCTGGGGACACCTGGGGACAGATGGGGACACACCTGGGACAGCTGGGAATGCACCTGGGGACACACCTGGCATTAGAACACCTGGCGTTGGGGGACACCTGGTGTGGGGACACACCTGGAGACAGCAACACCCTGGGGTGGGGCCACGCCCAGCACACCTGTACAAGGGGGGACACCTGTGTGGGCACTGTCCCCTGCCGGTGTCCCCAGGGTGGGGGTGCTGAGGTGACCCCTCCCCATCCCCCCGCAGGTGACGCCGCCGACCCCCAGATGAGGCCCCCGAGCCCCCCCCAGGGGCGGGGGAGGGGACAGGGGGGGACAGGGGGGGTCACCCCGCCCCTCCCCCCACGAACACTTTTTATTTATTCTCGGAGAAATCGCCCCAAAAAAAAAAAAAATCGTCTGGACGGACAGGACGCCCCTCCCCCACCGCGGGGGGCGGGGCTTTGGGTGGAAAAACTCCGATTTTATACAAAAATACCGATTTATAGGAATTTACAAAGCCCCTCCCCCACCGCCCCTCCCCCCGCGGTGGTGGGGAGGGGGGTTGGGGTCTTTCTGCTCCGCCCCTCCCCCACCCACCCCCAAATTTTGGGGGTCTGTGAACTCAGAGGGGGTTGGGGGGGAGGGGAGGCTTTGCTCCTGCCCCTCCCCCCCCCCCCGGCACCGCCCCGCCCCCCCCCCCCCCCCCCCCCCCCCCCCCCCCCCCCCCCCCCC